CTCACTCACTCACTCATTTCGAGTTCAAGGGCACGGTGGACCAGACGACCACCGACACCAACTCGACTGCTGATCCACCACAATTTCAAGGCTGAGACATTCCATCCAACCCCATCCACCACAACTCGCTAGCCGACAGGGGTCACCTGCCACTGGACGGTTTTCAAGCCGCGCAAAAGTTGGATGATGTTGTGAACGCGACGAACAGCAGCAAAGCCCTATAATCGACTGACGACGGGTGGGGCATAAACAAGTCACCGCTGGCACTTAGGACAACCACACAGAACTACATCCTGTTTCAAATACTAATGCATAGCTAAACAGGTGCACGAAATGCCAAACTCCAATCAGGCGTCCAATACTTCGGACCTCATTAGCTCCCATTTACATCACCACCTGGCTACTCCATCCACCCATCCCTTCCCTCCGTCCATTCATTCACCTCCACTTTCCTCCTCCTCAGCGGACTACTCCAGCGTCCACGTCCAATGTGCAAAAGGGTGACAGATCCCCTCCCACTCCTCCCTCACTTTCACAACCCCCACCATATGTTTCGTCGCACAAACTCCACATTCAAAGGTCCAGTGCCGTCCACTTCTAAATGGCCTTTCGACAACTCATTCGAATGAACGAAAGTTCGCATGTCCTCATCTGTGAGGACCAGGAGTGCATTCTGCAATCTCCACACCATAACAACTTCACATGCCTTCGTCTCCAAGGCTGGAAGGCTCTCCAGTACAGCTTTTCTCCCCTATGAAACAGGCAAGACACGACGAAGAGCCAAAAGCCTGCTAACTTGACAGTCGGCGCATTAGCTGAGGTGATTCATTAGTGGAGATCTCGCTCAGCGCAAGCATCCGCACACCCCTCCCACCGCCTCCCTCCTCCTACCGTACAACCCATGGCCCACGAAGACGGCAGAGGCGAGAACAGGACACGACTGAATGCACATACCTAACACCTCCATAAAACCCCATCTTCTCCTTCACCTCCCCTGCCCTGCCAACCTTGCCTTCACAACCCTTCCCTTCCCTTCCCTACCCACATAAGTCACTCCCATCCACACATACACACACACACACACACACAC